ATAACCAGGTCGAACTGTCACTAAGCTCAGCTGCGGGGTCAGTGAGTTGATGTGAGGGGTTGAGGGGGCTGCAAAATTGGCATTGTGAGGCTATGCCAGTCAGGGGAACAGGAGATCCAAGGTGGGCAGTTCCTGTACTAACCACTGTTGCAGTGATGTTTATTGCAATCACCTTAGGGTCTGAATGACACTGTGGCCCTGAGACAATGGGGTAGCTCCAGTTCCTGCCGTAAATCCCTCAAATAAACCTACAGCAGGTAGGAACATTGTGGCTAAAAGAGTGGTGTGGGAAAGAGAGTTTCCTTTTCATGGGGCACTGGCATCAGTTCTGGGACAGGAGGGATCTATACCGCTGGGATGGACTCCACCTGAACAGGGCCGGGTCCAGTGTTCTGGCGAAAAGGGTAAATAGGGTGGTTAATAGGACTTTAAACTAGTAAGTAGGGGGGAAGGGAAAAGTGAGCGTAGAGGGAGAATAACAATGTAAGGCAAAGCAGCAGGTTAGCAGGTGATGAGGAAGCTTCAACTCCATTGAAAATTAGGAAAAAAGTTAAAGGGAAGGAGAATTCAAGAGCCGTTAGTAATGGAGGTAATAGGACCCAAAAAGAAGGTGCAAAAACTGCATAAGGGCACTTTATCTGAATGCTCAGAGCATTCAAAACAAGGTGGATGAGTTGACGGCGCAAATCATGGCAAATGGGTATGATTTAGTGGCCATTACAGAGACATGGTTACAGGATGGTCATGACTGGGAGTTAAATATCCAGGGGTATCAAACTGTTCGGAAGGACAGACAGGAAGTAAGGGAGGTGGTGTTGCTCTGATTTTTAAGGATGATATCAGGGCGGTAGTGAGAGATGGTATAGGTTCTACTGAACAAAACGTTGAATCCATTTGGGTGGAAATTAGGAACAGCAGGGAGAAGAAGTCACTGATAGGTGTGGTCTATAGGCCACCAAATAATGACATCGTGGTGGGGCAGGCAATAAACATAGAAATAGCTAATGCATGTAAAAATGGTACAGCAATTATCATGGGAGATTGTAATCTCCATATCGATTGGTCAAACCAGGTCGGTCATGGCAGCCTTGAGGGGGGGTTCATAGAATGCATCCGCGATAATTTCCTTGAGCAATATGTAATGGAACCTACGAGGGAGCAAGCTATCCTAGATCTAGATCTGTGTAATGAGACAGGAATAATTAATGATCTCACAGTCAGGGATCCTCTTGGAAGGAGCGATCACAGTATGATCGAATTTAAAATACAGATGGAACATGAGAAGGTTAAATCCAGTACCTATGTCCTGTGCTTACACAAAGGAGACTATGAAGGAATGAGGGAGGAGTTAGCTAAGGTAGAATGGGAGCAAAAACTTTATGGTGGGTCAATTGAGGAACAGTGGAGGACTTTCAAAATGATTTTTCACAGTGCTGAGCAGAAGTATATTCCAGTGATAAGGGAGAACTGTAGGAAAACAGAGATCCAGCCATTGATGTCTAAGGAAATAAAGTATCAGATTGAAAAAAAAACACATACAAAAAAGCAAAGTGTAGTGGGAAACTAGTAGACTGGGAAATCTTTAAAGGCCAACAGAAAGCCACAAAAAAAGTTATAAAGAAAAGTAAGATAGATTATGAGAGTAAACTAGCTCAGAATATAAAAACAGGCAGCAAAAGTTTCTATAACTATGTAAATCGTAAAAGAGTGGCGAAGGTAAACATTGGTCCTTTAGAGGATGAGAAGGCCAATTTAATAACTGGGAATGAGGAAATAGCCGAGACATTAAACAGTTATTTTGTGTCAGTCTTCACAGTGGAAGACACAAATAACATGCCAAAAACTAATGGCAAGAAGGTTATAGCAGGTGAGGACCTAGAAACTATCATTATCACTAAGGAGGCAGTGCTGGGCAAGCTAATGGGGCTAAAGGTAGACAAGTCTCCTGGCCCTGATGAAATGCATCCCAGGGTACTAAAAGAGGTGATGGGGGAAATAGCAAATGCACTAGTAATTATTTACCAAAATTCACTGGACTCTGGGGTGGTTCCCGCAGATTGGAAAACAGCCAATGTGACACCACTGTTTAAAAAAGGAAGTAGACAAAAAGCAGGTAACTATAGGCCAGTTAGCTTAACTTCGGTAGTGGGGAAAATGCTTAAATCTATCATTAAGGAAGAAATAGCAAGACATCTGAGTATAAATTGTCCCATTGGGAACACCCAGCATGGGTTCATGAAGGGTAGGTCATGTTTAACTAATTTGGTGGAATTCTCTGAGGACATTACTTGCATGGTGGACAATGGGGAGCCTGTGGATGTGATGTATCTGGATTTCCAGAAGGCATTTGACAGGGTGCCACACCAAAGGCTACTACATAAGATAAAGTTGCACGGTATTACAGGTAATGTATTGGCATGGATAGAGGATTGGTTGACCAGTAGAAAGCAAAGAATAGGGGTAAATGGGTGTTTTTCTGGTTGGCGGTCAGTGGCTAGTGGTGTGCCTCAGGGATCAGTGTTGGGACCGCAATTGTTTACAATTTACATGGATGATTTGGAGTTGGGGACTAAGTGTGGTGTGTCAAAATTTGCAGATGACACTAAGGTGAGTGGTAGAGCAAAGTGTGCAGAAGACACTGAAAGTCTGCAGAGGGATATAGATAGTCTAAGTGAGTGGGCAAAGGTCTGGCAGATGGAGTACAATGATGATAAGTGTGAGGTCATCCATTTTGGTAGGAATAACAGCAAAATGGACTATGTTTTAAATGGTAAAAAATTGCAGCACACTGCTATGCAGAGGGACTGGGTGTCTTTGTGCATGAATCGCTAAAAGTAGGATTGCAGGTGCAGCAGGTGATTAAAAAGGCAAATGGAATTTTGTCTGTCATTGCTGGAGGGATGGAGTTTAAAAACAGGGAGGCTATGCTGCAGCTGTATAGGGTCCTGGTGAGGCCACACCTGGAGTACTGTGTGCAGTTTTGGTCTCCTTACTTGAGAAGAGATATACTAGCACTGGAGGGGGTGCAGAGGAGATTCACTCGGTTGATTCCAGAGTTGAGAGGGTTGGATTATGAGGAGAGACTGAGTAGACTGGGATTATACTCATTGGAATTCAGAAGAATGAGGGGAGATCTTATAGAAACATATAAGATTATGAAGGGAATAGATAAGGTGGAGGCAGGGAGGTTGTTTCCGCTAGCAGGTGAAACTAGGACTCGAGGGTATCACCTCAAAATAAAGGGAAGCAGACATAGGACTGAGGTCAGGAGGAACTTCTTCACCCAAAGGGTTGTGAATCTGTGGAATTCCCTGCCCAGTGAAGTGGTTGAAGCTACCTCGCTGAATGTTTTTAAGGCAAGGCTAGATAAATTTTTGAACAGTGAAGGAATTAACGGTTATGGTGAGTGGGCGGGTAAGTGGAGCTGAGTCTCAAAACGATCAGCCATGATCTTATTAAATGGCAGGGCAGGCTCAAGGGGCCAGATGGCCTACTCCTGCTCCTAGTTCTTATGTTCTAACATGATCCATACGCCCTCCAGCTGCCATCCACACCTTCGGGGGGGAAGATCAGCTCTCCTATTTCAGGTTGGAATGGGACAGGGAAAATAAATGTTGGCCTAGCCAGCGATGCCAATGTACCATAAATAAATAACAAAGAGACATGATTATGACCATCAATTGGTCTGGTATTGTGAACAGGTTAGAAGGTGGATATTAAATTAAATCTGTGAATGGGAGTAAGATTGTTTCTGGGGCTGAGATTATAAATAGGGTTGGGATTGGGAATGTCAATGGGATTGGAAATTCTGTTGGGATTACCAGTGTATTGGAATTGGCAATATAACTGAGAACATGAAAGGGTTGGGAATGTGACTAGGATTGGGAATGTAAATCGATTGAGAATGTGAATGGGATTCAGAATTTCAGTGACTGTGGGATTGGGAATTCCAGAGGAGCTTGTCCCTTCGACTGAAGCCTCCTCCTGTGTCTACTATCTACCGGAGATGCAGCCAGGAATAGGAACGGATGGTGAAACCGAATCTGGAATTGGGTTTTGAACCAATCTTTCTAGAATAGGGAAAATATGGGAAGGAGCCATTCCACCTGGGAATATTCCTGCAGCTCCACTGGCAATAGATACCTTCTTGACTGATACCAGGCAAACCTGTCGACTGAGTCCAAGATATAACCACCTGGCCGAAAGTCAACCAACCATTCCTTCACCACAGAGTCAGAGACCAGGATCCAGGAGGTCGTGCAAACTGGGGGCTGTTGAGTGTTCCTGTTCCTGCCTGTGATTCACATAGGTGGCTTGTTCCAAGCCCTCAATAGCACTGAAGGTGAAGCCATCTTCACACTGAGCAGTGGGCAGCTCTCTGGCTGCTGGGTTGTACCAATAGCTGGAAGCAACGTCAGAATGGCTGCGTGCCTTGCCCAGGCAGAAACCGGGAAGATGCCAGCTTCATTTCCCAGCTACCCGTGACGTTGCTTCCTCTAAACCGAGGTGGTGACAACAAGCCCCCACCCCCAACCCCAGCGCCAGCCCCCACTCCCCACTCCTGCCGCCCCAATCCCGTTCTGCAGGGATGATTATTCTGGTTCCACGGTTGGAGGACCTGTTACAGGATGGACACAGCAAAAGGGCAGTAGGTTTTCCTGCAGTCCACCGGCCTCCTTGCCCGCCCTCGCAGCGGGCACGCGTTCGGAAAGGTTGGACAGAACAGACACAGGCGTGGAGGGCTGAAGGGCCTGTGCGTGTGTGCAAACTGGAGGTGGGTACATGCAGGCCGTTCGGAATACAATAAATAAAACGCGACAATAACACAGGGGAAGTTAAAGCCGTACTCCGTGAGTGTGCAGCTTCTGTCCACGTCAGGCCGGGAGGTAAAATTGACACCACTGAGTCTGTAAATGCGCCAACCCTTTCTCAGCATGATTGCTGCCCAGAGGGTGGCACAGGAAACAATAAATAAATGGACATTTATCACAGCCGAGGAGTACACTCCTATCTGGATCACCTTCACTGTTGGCCACCTTGGATACAGTCTGAAAATAAATCGACATGCAATGGCACCACAGGGTCACCGCGGCAATGGTAGGAGGGAAAAGCAACCATATCCTTGACTGCGGTTCTGTCTTAAACCAGCCAATCACTGAGCGTCATTCTATCCAGCCAGGAAGATGGCCATTCACTGTCCTCCTCACATCTCAGGCAACGTGTCGAAGACAACGTGATGTGGTTCTGTCCCCTGTGGGTGGGGTGGAGCCACTGTGGTTGTTGGGGGTTAGGGGCAGCATGCAAGCCCTGGGGTGAGGCGGGGTGGGGAGGACGGAAGTGGGTGCGGAGGACGGAGAGTCAGGATCTCCCCCGCTCCCACCGGCACCACCTCCTGAATCCTCCCTACATCACCCCGTTCAGCTTCTTGGGGTTCGACAAGTCCAGGTAGAATTGCGAGCGCAGGAAGCGAGGGTAGGAGTCCTTCTCCATCAGGCCGAAGATCCGCTTCTGGGCCAGGTCAAAGGTCGAGTGAGTTGGGCTTAGCACGTTAGTGGAGGTCACTTCCCTGGTGTGAGAGTCCAGGTTAACCTGGGGGAGGGGGTGTACAGAGGGAGGAACAGAGGGAGGGAGAGGGGGGACAAAGGGAGACGGAGGGAGAGAGTGAGAGAGAAAAACAGAGGGCAAGGGGCAAGGAAGGAGGGAGAGAAGCGGAGGGGGGGGAAGGGAGAAAGGGAGAGAAAGAGAGGTGGCAAGAGGTGGGTGGTAGAAAAAGAGACAGGGTGGGAGAGAGTGAGAGAAAGACAGAGGGAGGGAGAAAGAAAGCGAGAGAGAGACAAGGGAGGGAGAATGAGAGATATAGAAAGAGATGGAGGGAGGGGAGAGACAGAGGGATGGAGAGACAGAGAAAAGGAGTGAGGAAGAGAGAAGAAGGGAGGGAGAGAGAAGGAGGTAGGGAGAGACAGTGGGAGAAAGAGAGGGAAGGAAATGATGGGAGGAGTGAGAAAGAGTGGGAGAATTGGGGGTGAGAGAGAGAAAAGGGAGAAGGGGTGAGTGAACACACATGGAAAAGAATGTTAGATTTTCAGGTTGCTAAATTTCTGTTTCCTAGATACCCACCCCCACACCCCAACGCTCTCCTCACGCCCTCCCCACTGCCCTCGCACCCGCACCCCCAGCCCCAGAGATAAGGTAGTGTTGATGATGACAGTGTATTTACCAGTTGTTACTCCATTCCCCGCACCCCCCCCCTCACCTAGTTCCAGGCCTGTCTTTAAGGTGTTGCTGGATGTGATTCACATGGGCTGTGTCCATAAGCTAGCTTTACAATTACAACATCACTGTCGGCATTTCAGCCCTTTGGGATTGGTCTCTTTCTCAGCCTCCAGCTGCCTGTCCTCCTCAGGCCCTCTCTGCCGTTTGCTACCTCACTGTCTTCCAAAACACTCCTCAGAACCTGCCCCTGTCACTGAACCTTCGGGCACCTTCTTGCTATCCCCTTGGTGGCAAAATTCCAATTGGGAGCAACGCTCCTGGAGAGGGGTAATTCCCCGGTGTGAAAAAACGAGTGGTTGCTGCAGAGGTGACAGAGGAAGGGGAGCACCGCCCTATCCCAGATTCCAGATCATTTTGGTCTCTGTGCATGTCCCAGTGGGTTCTTACCTCCCTGGGGGCGTGGGTATCAATAAACTCCTCAAAGATTTTCTTGGCCTTGGATGTGAGTTTGGCATTGGATTTGGTGTTCTTGTAATCCTCACATGCCAGCCAGAACTCAATGTTCTCATCACTGAACTCTGTACGCAGGAAGCCTTTGAAAGCCATCAAGCCATCTGAGGGGACAAACAGAGCAAGGTCAAGTGGAACTGCCATCTGTATCCTGTACCCTCTCACCCTCTGCTCCAATTGGTCACTCACTGTGGTATTCTCTCAAAATTCATGTAGATTCAAGGAGACACTAGCTCAATGGTAATGTGGCTGGCCTCATAACCCATAGGTTCCAGGGCAACGGTTCAAATCCCATTCCTGATGGGATTGGAATTCAATTCATAAATCCAGCCGATCTCAGCAATGGTGACTGTAACGATCATTGGATTGTTGTTAAAATCCATCCCTTTTGCTCATTCCCAAGGGAAATCTACCATCCTTACCCCAGTCTGGCCTACAAATAACTCCAGACCCACAGCAACGTGGGTGAATCTCAGTGATGACCTGAGCAAATCACTCAGTTCAAGGGCAATTAGGGTGTAGGTTTGGGCCTTGCTAGTGATACCCACTTGAAAGAATACGTAAAAAAGAACCCAGCAGGAATAATAACTGAAGGGTAATAAAAGCCCTCCCCCTCCCTAATCCCAACCAATCCAACACATGATAGACTCAGCACTCTGTACCTGAGGATTTCCCAGTGTTTTCACACAGAATGTAGACCACAGATGGGGATAGGCTCATATTCCACTTGACACTTTAGCAAATCTGAACCACATATTGCTCTATTCCTTTCTCCTGCATGACTTTATCCGGCTTCCCCAATAATTGTATCGATACACGTCATTTCAGCTACTCCCTGTGGGAGTGAGGCCCACAGCCTTACCATTTTTCAGCCATCTGGGTATTTCCTGAATTCCTGATGGGAATAATGAGTGACCGAATCACGTTCATCTTGTGTCTACAATGAGTGGGAATATCTTTGTTACATTTACCCTATTAAACTCGTTCAGGTTCACAAAGACCTCTCTCAGGTCATTATTGAATCTTCTCTGTTAGAGGGCGCTACCCATTCTTCGCTGCCCTCTGTTGTTACCAGAAAGAGATAGGAACTAATTGTTATGTAAATGTGTACCTTGAGATGCCACATTCGCTGTTGCGCTAGAGTTCATTTACTGAGTTACAATCTGAAATACACACAATGATACTACAACATTCAAAGTTTAAAGTCTTGTAATTGCTGAATTTATGAAAAACCAGAGGAAATAACAGAAACCTAGAAACTAGGATCAGGAGTAGGCCATTCAGGCCACGGAGCCTGCTCTGCTATATTCAACATAGTTGACCCTGTGTCTTGGTACAACACTCCCACTCTCTACCCATGGCCCGTGACACTTGTAGCTTCCAAAAATCTATTTCTTACTGAAATATATTCAGTGACTTGGCCTCCACAGCCTTCTATGGCAGAGAATTCCATAGGAATGCCACCCTCTGTTTGAAGATATTTCTCCTCATCTCAGTCTGAAATGGTCTACCCAGTATCCTGAGATCCTTGTATTGGACCCTGGCCAGGGAAAACATCTTCACTGCACCCAATCTGTCCAGCCCCGTCAGAAATTTATAGGTTACTGTGAGATCCCCTCTCATGCTTCTAAACTCCCGTGAATACAGGCCCAGCCAATTAAATCTGCCTTCACAGGAATAAGCCAGCCTTCCCGGGAATCAGTCTGATGAAACTTCACTGAACTCCCTCGATTGCAAGTCTATCTTTTATGAGGTGAGGAGTCTCAAAACCTGCTCCATATCCTCCAGGTGTGGTCGCACCAGGGCCCTGCACAGCTGTAGTAAGACTTCCTTGCTCCTGTATTTCAAACCTCTCACCATGAAGGTTAAACACCATCACATCACTGAGGACTGGGGGGACACTGTCACTGTCACTCAGTGGTAATTAGCTGGCTTCGGTTCATACTGATTTCTGTCTGGAGAATTCCCCCTCAGTGACATGTAAATAGATGGCCTGGCTGTGATCAGCTTGCTGTTCAGGGAGTGGTGCATGTATGATTGGGCTGTGCCCCTTATGTTGTGAGACTCAATCTCCTCCAGTGAGCACAGACCCCTCCCCAAACCTTTAAGCATTCCCTGCCCACTCTTGCAAGCATGAGAAATGCACTTGATCCTGACTAACCCAGCGTGGGTGAAATGTTGCCTCCCTGTTTCAGGACCATGTGAGCGGGCAGAAGCGGGGGTGAAAACCAGATCAACAAACCAGGGAAATGTTCAGGACAGCATTGGAGAAGGGGCAGCAGCAGCCTGAACATTTCAGGCTCGATGGATTGGGCAGGTGCAATTCTGACAAAAGTGTCGTCACTCTGAGAGGTTAACGCTTAGCTTCGGCTCCTCACTGACATGATACACCACCTTCATGTGATAATCTGCCACTATTGTAGAATCCCTACATTGTGGAAGCAGGCCATATGGCCCAGTGAGTCCACACTAACCCCCTGAACAGCATCCCACCCAGCAACAAAAACAGAAGTTGCTGGAAAAGCTCAGCGGATCTGGCAGCATCTGTGAAGAAAAAGTCAGAGTTAAAATCTGGGGAAGACCTGAAATGTTAACTCTGATTTTTTTTCTTCACAGATGCTGCCAGACCTGTTGAGCTTTTCCAGCAAATTCTGTTTTTGTTCTTGATTTGCAGCATCTGCAGTTCTTTCAGTTTTTATTTAGAATCCCACCCTACCTAGTCCCACTATATCCCTGTACCCCTGCATTTCCCACAGCTAACCCATCTAACCTACACAGCCCTAGACATTATGGACAATTAGCACGGCCAGTCCACCTACCCTGCACATCTTTGGACTGTGAGAGGAAACCGGAGCACCCGGAGGAAATCCACACAGACAGAGAGAGAAAGTGCAAACTCCACACTGACAAGTGCCTGAGGGTGGAATCGAACGTGGGTCCCTGGCGCTGTGAGGCAGCAGTGGTAACCTCTGAGCCATCGTGTTGCTATCATTGAAAACAAGAGTGAGGTGATTCTGATGGAGCTGAACATCCCATTAGTTAAACCACAGCTGGAGTACTCCGTGCAGTTCTGGTCACCACATTATAGGAAGGATGATATTACACTGGAAGTGGGTGCAGAGGAGATTCAGAGGGTAACTAGATAGGTTTTCCTTAGAGGGGATTAAGCCGAGGGGCAATCTGATTGAGGTGTACACAGCTCTGAGGGGCATAGACAGGGTAGATGGGGAAAAGCCATTCCCATTAGGACAGGGGTCAATAACTGGGGAGGACAGTTTTATAATAAACGGTGGGATTTTGAGGAACATTCTTTTACCTGTAGGGTGGTGGATACCTAGAATACACTCTCCAAAAGGGTGTTACAAGCAGGAACCCTTACAACCTTGAGAAATAATTAGATGATTACTTGAGTGCTGGAAAATCAGATTAGAATTGATGAATGTCTGATGACCAGCACAAACACGATGAGCCAAAGCGCCTCTTTCTGAAGAGTCTCTACGAATCTATAACCTAAGTCCACCAATGAACCTTTCAAATAATTTTGTCGGTAACGAGTCCATCACGCTTGGCTGCTCCTGCTTCTTCCGCTTTTGGAAATAAATCTGACAGCACTGCCCCTCAGTGTCTATAGGGGGCGACACCCACCGTGTTTCAGTCAAGCTGTGCAGCATCACCATCTGCTGACACTACCCGGTACTACAGGCTGAGCTTGTCTGTCGCTCCACATCTTGTACAACAGGCCGAGGTGGAACACAGCGCCAGCACCTTCTCAACAAGGGATACTTTCCAGGGAAATCAGATTCCAACAAGTACTGCTGCCAAGAAAAACTGTAAGTAGGAGTACTTCAAAATAAAGTAGACATTGATCGGCCAAAAATTAATCTGCCTATTAATGATATCATATTCATCAATCCATTCATTTTCATCATTGATCCTTCCCTACGTCCAGTTCCGAGTCTATATTTCTCTGTCTGTCTATCGATCTATCCATCAGCTCTCAAACCATCTATCTCTTCACTCACCATCGCAGCTCTTCCAGTTGTATCTCTCTATGATTCCACAACTCTCTATTGACATCTCTCCAAACCCTATCATCAATCAATATTGATCTTCTAATCCATCTATCTCTGAATATCGATTGATATCTATCCTCCAATCTCACCTTCCTCTCGTCATTTCAAGTCTGTGTGTATCTATCTCGCTATTACAGAATCCCTAAACTGTGGAAACAGGCCACTCAGCCCAACGAGTCCACACTGACCCTCCAAAGAGCATCCCACCCAGACCCAACCCCCTTCCCTATCCCTGCAGCCCTGCATTTCCCGTGACTATCACACCTAGCCTATACATTCCTGGACACTCTGGACAATTTAGCCTGGCCAATCCACCTAACCTGCACATCTTTGGACCGTGGGAGGAAACCGGAGCACCTGGAGGAAACCCACGCAGACATGGGGAGAATGTGCAAACTCCATGCAGTCACCTGAGGGTGGAATTGAACCCCAGTCGATTTCATCCTTGGGTGACTGTGTGTGGAGTTTGCACGTTCTCTTTGAGGCGGAATTGCTAACGAATGAACCACCATGCCATCTTCAAGTGACTTCTCCATTTGTTCTTTTCTCTGCTAATGTTGAACACATATCAATAACATCTCTTACACTGTCAGAGCTGTGTATACATCTTCACACATACTCCTCATCTCATTCACACATGTACTCAGTCTCACACATTAAGGTACTCACATCGATGAGCTAATAACTTATCCAGTGATTCTCCCCACTGTGCGGCTTCCTCTGCTGTAGGCCTAGTCACAAAACACAACAACAGACCATCAGAAACCAAAGAGACAAAGGAAGACAGCTGTTATTCAGGACTTCACTCTATCCCAGAGGTGGGCGGGGGAAAGGACAGTGTCTGACCCACTGTCCCACCCACTCCCATAATGGGGGGCATGGGGGGAAGGACACTGTCTGACCCACTGTCCCATCCAGTCCCAGAGGGGGACAGTGTCTGACAAACTGTCCTACCCAATCTCTGGGGGCGGAGAACAAGAGTGAAATTAAGGAATGAAAAAAACAACTGTAGAGTAGGAGAGAGGTAAGGAGTGGCTGGAGCAGGAGATTAAAGGAATGGAGAGGGAAGCAGAGATGGATGGAGGGGTGATAAGTGGAGGGGAGAAGGGCAGAGGTGAGACACTCTGAGGGGAAATGAGTGGTGGACTGGAAACAGGAATGTAGTAAGTGTGAAGACCTTTGAGCCTATGACTGAGTGGAGACACCTTACCTCAGGGAGTCCAGATCATTCTTAGCGCAGGCATCGTTCCACTTCCGGAGGAAGCCCAGGCGACTGCCCCTGTGGGGGGGTGAAAAACACAAGGTGAAGCCATTGGAAGTTCACATTGGAGAGATCGAGGGGTGAGTGGATCAGCCTGAGCTCAGGATCACTGAACTGTCATGAGTCAAGCTGACTGTATGATTAATGCAGTCCATATCTGTCAGCCCTAAGCCACTCCCCGGGTTCCCCTGCGGAGCTGGCTGAGCTGTGCTACACTTCTGTCCATCATACTTTACGTCTGGGAATAGCTTAGTGAGCATGTGCATGACCAGCTACGCCAGAGAGAGGTTGGTTCATAGAAACATAGGAACATAGAAGATAGGAACAGGAGGAGGCCATTCGGCCCTTCAAGCCTGCTCTACCATTCATCATTATCATGGTTGATCGTCCAACTCAATGGCCTAATCCTGCTTTCTCCCCATAACCTTTGATCCCATTCACCTTAAGTGCTATATCTAGCCGCCTCTTGAATACATTCAATGTTTTGGCATCAACTACCTCCTGTGGTAATAAATTCCACAGGCTCACCACTCCTTGAGTGAAGAAATGTCTTCTCATCTCTGTCCTAAGTGGTCTACCCAGAAACCTCAGGCTGTGATCCCTGGTTCTGGACACACCCACCATCAGGAACATCCTCCCTGTATCTACTCTGTCTAGACCTGTTAGAATTTTATAAGTCTCTATGACATTCCCCCTCATTTGTCTGAACTCCAGCAAAAACATTCCTAACCTAGACAATCTCTCCTCATACGTCAGACCCATCCCTGGACTCAGCCTGGTAAACCTACGCTGCACTCCCTCGAAAGCAAGAGCATCCTTCCTCAGAAAAGGAGACCAAAATTGCTCACGATATTCTAGGTGTGGCCCCACCACGGCCCTGTATAACTGCAACAACACATCTCCTGCTCCTGTACTCGAAACCTCTCGCAATGAAAGCCAACATACCATTTACCTTCTTCTTTACCACCTGCTGCACCTGCATGCTTACCTTCAGTGACTGGTGCACAAGGACACCCAGGTCCCACTGCACACTCCCCTCTCCCAATTTACAGCCATTCAGTCGTAATCTGCCTTCTTGTTTTTGCTTCCAAAGTGAATACCCTCATACTTAACCAAATTGTACTGCATCTGCCGTTGATTTGTCCATTCACCCTACCAGATTATGCTGAAGGATCGCTGCATCCTCATCACAGTTCACCCTCCCACCCAACTTGGTATCATCTGCAAACTTTGAGATGTTATATTTTGCTCCCTCATCCAAATCATTAATATATATTATGAATAGCTGGTGTCCCAGCACCAATCCCTGTGGCATCTCACTAGTTACTGCCTGTCAATCTGAAAAGGACCCATTAATTCCTACTCTTTGTTTCCTCTCTGCCAACCAGTTTTCTATCCATCTCGGTACCCTTCCACCAATCCCATGCGCTTTAATCTTGCACAATAAACTCTTATGCGGGCCTTTGTCAAACACTTCTGAAAGTTCAAATGTGCCACATCAACTGGCTCCCCCCTTGTCAACTCTATTGGTTACATCTTCATAGAATTCCAACAGAATTGTCAAGCATAATTTTCCCTTCATACATCCATGCTGACTCTGTCTGATCCTGCCACTGTTTTCTAAATGCTCTGCTATAAAGTTTTTGACAATGGACTCGAGAATTTTTCCCACTACTGATGTTAGTCATCAGGAATATAGGAGCAGGAGGTGGCCATTCAGCCCCTCAAGCTTGCTCCACTGTACTAGATCATGGTGGATCTTCTACCTCACTATCTGCATTTCCCTCAATACAATCAGCGATAAGCAGCCAATCGATCTCTGTCCTGAACCTGCTCAATACCTGAGCTTTCCCGGGGCAGAGAATTCCAAACTTTCTCCACCCTCTACGTGAAGAGGTTCCTCCTCATCTCAGTTTTAAATAGTTTGTCTTTTCAATCCCACAGCCAGGGGAAACATCCTTTCAGCATCTACTCTGTCTGGCCCTTGGAAGAATGCTTTAACTTTCGACGAGATCAGTTTCCTAACTCCAGGGAACTCCAGCCCAGTCTCTACAATCTTTCCTATCGGACAGTCCCACTATCCCTGGAATCAGGGTGGTGATCCTCAGGTGCACTCCCTCAAGGGCATAGACTTCATTCGGTAATGGGACCCGAATTGCTCACTATACTCCAGGTGGAGTCTCACACAATGGAACCAGCACTTTATACCTGTACTCAAATCCTCTCGTGTTGAAGGCCAACATACCAATTGTTTGCTGTCATTTGCATTCCCTCTAATTCTACCCTCCCCCTCACACAAATCCTGTAAACTATTCCCAGCATGAACGGCCTTTTACTGCCAGGCTCAGATCTCTGAAATTCCCTTCCTCCGTCCTCCTTCAAAACACTCCTGGAAGTCTGCGTCACTCAGCGAGGTTTTGGTACCTCTGCTAATGTCCCCTCTTCATTGAATCACAGGATAGTTATGGTGGGGGATGCCATTCAGCCCATTGTTCTATCACCCAATACCAATCTTTTGCCTTTTCCCCATCTCTCTGCTCACCATTTCTCTCCAAATACCCATCCAATGCCCCTCATGAATGCCTTAATTGAACCTGCCTCCACCATATTTCCAGGCAATGCATTCCACACCCTAATTACTCATTGAGTGTAAATGATTTTCCTCACATCACCCTTATTTCTTTTGCACACCAAATTAAATCTATGGCCTCTCATTATTGCTCTTTTTATGCGTAGGAACAGCTTCTCCCGATCTACTCCAGGCAGGTCTGCTCATGATTTTTGAAAATCTCGCTCAAATCTCCTCTCAGCTTTCTTCTCTCGGTAGAATGGCTATCATGTGGAAGCAGGTCTTTTAGTCCATCGAGTCCACTCCAACCCTCTCAAGAGCATCCCACCCAGATCCACACCATCCTATCCCAGCTAGCCCACCTCATCTGCACTTCCCTGGACACTATGGGCAATTTAGTATGGCCAATCCACATAACTTGCACATCTTTGGATTGGGGAGGAAACCAGAGCACCCGGAGAAATCGCACACAAACACAGGGAGAATGTGCAAACTTCACACTGTTGGCCAAGGGTGGAATTGAACTCGGGTCCCTGGAGCTGTGAGGCAGCAGTGCTAGCCACTGTGCCTCTGTGCTGCCCTAGTGAGACCAATCCCAACTTCTTCAATCTATCTTCATCACTGAAGTTCGTCATTCCTGGAACTATTTTTTGTAAACTGCTTCTGCACTCTGTCCAATGTGTTCACATCTTTCCTATAATGTGGCATCCAGAACTGTACACAATACTCCAGCTGAGGTCTAACAAATGTCTTGTACAAGTTCACCAACACCTCCTTGCTCTTGTACCCAATGCCCCTGTTAATGAAGCTGAGGACACTGTGCGCTTTACTCATTGGTCTCTCCACCTTTCCTGCTGCCTTCAAGGATCTGTGCGCCCAGCTCCCTCTGCTCCTGCACCTGCTGTAGACTTGTATCCCCTACTTATAGCCACTTTCAACATTGTTCCTACCGAAGTGCATCACCACACACTTCCCTACATTGAACTTCATTTGCCCCTGATCTGCCCTTTCCACCAACTTGTTCATGTCGTTTTGTGATTTTGTCTCCAACAATTTTTGTGAAGTTGCTGCTCACTGCGTTGGGCTGATCCGTGACATTGCAAGCTCAGCACAATGTGAATGTGAACGCTGGCTGTTTCTATATTGATTGTCCCGCCGGAATTATCTGACACACTACACTCTCTAAGTAAAGTGACCTCTGTGTTTCCTGACACTGGGACATATGATTCTGTGTAAATCCAGGTCAATCCATGTTTCAGTCGAGACTGATTCCACTGTCTGACATTTACACAGATGTCCCCTCAGCGTTGCCATGGCTACTAGGGACAAACTACGAGCACAGCCCTGTACGGAAACCAATCCCTGTAATCCCTGACTGTGGTTACATGTCAAAATACATATTGGGCCTTGCTTGTAGCTCACTGATGTCCAGTTTGGTTTTATAAGTGGTGCTGAAGGGATGGATGATGTCCAGAGGAACCTCTTGGCACAGGCCTGAGGCACCTTTTCCCAGTAAAACCCTTTATTTTTATTCTTAGGTGGACCACTGACCAGGACCTCTGAGCACTTCCAAACTCTCCCCTGACAAGCTGTGAATTCATGGAGCTGGATATCACGATCCAGTTGGACACCCGAAACACCCTGACTCATTCTGGGTTCCACAACTTAAAAAGGATTTATTTTTAAATTTGTTCTCTCGTGGGAAATAGTTTTGGAATTCAACCCTGTCCTCCTCACTGTTCACAATCCTTCAAAGTTGACTGTCATCTGCAAAATTTTAAATTGTCACCTGTACACCAAGATCCAGATCATAAATACAACCCAGGACAAACAGGAGTTCTGAATTTAATCACAGCACAGCACGGCACTGACTGCCACATTGACTGAAGGTACTTACAGATGCTTCTTCCGCCTCGATCTGCCACCATTCTCTGCACAATCTAAACCCAGGTCAGATTCGGCACTGGAGGCCAGGTGCTGAAAGACAGGGCGATTCAGTGGTCATGGCACAGTGATCAGAGACCACAGAAAAGGGACAAAGGAAAAATCACATGGATGCAGTGCCATTACTGCAAGACAACATCCAAGACATTTCACAGGAGTCTGAGCAAAATATGACACAGTGCCACCTGTGGAGATATTTAATCCGACGGTCAATGCCTTCACTGAAGAGTTTTGCATTACCCCTCCGACAGTGCAGCACTCCCTCACCCTCTGACAATGCAGCACTGCCTCAGTACTGACCCTCTGACAGTGCCCACTCCCTCAGTACTGACCCTCTGACAGTGCAGCACTCCCTCAGCACTGACCGTCTGGCAGTGCAGCACTCCCTCAATACTGACTCTCTCATAGATTAGCTCGCTCTCTCTCAGTATTGTCCTTCTGACAGTGCGGCACTCCCTCAGTCCTGACCCTCCGATAGTACGGCACTCCGTCAGTACTAACCCTCCGACACTCCCTCAGTACTGACCTCCTGACAATGTGGCACTCCCTCAGTGCCGATCCTCTGACAGTGCAGCACTCTCCCAGGACTGTGTATAGTGTGTCTACATATACTTGTGCTTGTGCTTGTGTGTGTATTTGTGCAAATCTGTCTGCACAAACACAAGGATTTTGAGGACTGTACCAAGCTATGTTCACCAGCAGTCTCAGGTGTGCTCCCTACAGTGTGATCAATGAAATTCCCCAGACTCCGCTGCTCACCCTGACCCCAGAAACTCAAGAAGACAGAGAGAGCCTCTCAAATTTCTGTGACAGCCTCCTTATGCAGCCATGCTGTGCACTGTGCCCAGTGAGTGAGGGGAGGAGACATGGAGGCAGGGGAGCAGTGCTGGGCTGGTTAATGAGGCTAAAACTGCGAAAGGTGAGGTGAGGAGACAGTGTCCTGATGCCAGTGAAGATAGAGAGAGTGGGGGAGGGTGGGACGGGTGAATATTCAGTCACTGGGGAAGTGCACTGACTGGGAAAAGCTCCAGGCCCACTGGCAGTTCCCTGAAAACTGCACAGCTCCCAGGCTCAGTGCTCGCCTGTTAATCAGCAGATTAATTTTTCATTGCATCGATCGAGAACTCAGGCCTGTCTTGGTGTTTTGGTGTGTGCTGACTTTTTTCATTGCAGTTATCAGCGAGGCCTCATTCACTTGATCAGATTTATCGCACTGCAGCAACAGGATGTTACAAAGTCACTGGAAAGACTGCGCCATCCACCTGCTCCCCTCAGGACAATTCCAATCACTTCACAGACACTGAAAGTAGGACCAGAGTGTCAGGAAATGCGGCAGACACGCAGCTCACAGCAAGATCCCACAATAATAAATGAGAGGTGATTTCACTGTAATAAATGGAAATCTTAAGGGGCTTGGCAGGGATGCTGAGACGTTTCCCCTCAAGGGAGAGTCTAGGACCAGGGCATAGTCTCAGAATAAAGGGGCACCAATTCAAGACTGAGATGAGGAGGAATTCTCTCAGGGGTTTGTGAATCTTTGGAACTCCTTGCCACAGGACCCTGTGGGGACAGAGTCCTTGTGTATATTTAAGGCTGAGATAGATAGATTCTTGTCGGGGAATCAAAGGTTACTGGGGAAGGGCAGGAAAGTGGGAGTTGAGAAGTCATGTCACAGCTGTACAGGACATTGGTTAAGCCACTTTTGGAATACTGCATTCAATTCTGCTCTCCCTGCTATAGAAAGGATGTTGTTAAACTTTAAAGGGTTCATGAAGGATTGACAAGAATGTTGCCAGCGTTGAAGGGTTTGAGCTATAGGGAGAGGCTGAATAGCCTGCAGTTATTTTCCCTGGTGTATTGCAGGCTGAGGGGTGACCATTACAGAAGTTATAAAATCGTGAGGGCATGGCTAGGGTGAATAGCCAAGGCCTTTTCCCCAAGGTAGGGGAGTCCAAAACTAGGGGGCATAGGTTTAAGGTGAGAGGGGAAAGATTTAAAAGGGACCTAAGGGGCAACCTTTTTACGCAGAGGGTGGTGCGTGTCTGGAATGAGCTGCCAGAGGAAGTGGTGGAGGCTGATACAATTACAACATTTAAAAGGCATCTGGATAGGTACATAAAAAGGAAGAGTTTAGAGGGATGTGGGCCAAATACTAGCAAATGGGACTAGATTAATTTTGGATATCTGGTTGGCATGGACGAGTTGGACCGAAGGGTCTGTTTCTGTGCTGTACAGCTCAATAACTCTATGACTCTAAGTTGATGCGAGGAATGTCATATCAGCCATGATCCTATTGATTGATGGAGCAGGCTCGAGGGGCTGAATAGCCTACACCTGTTCCTGTTTCTTATGGGCTTATGATCAATACAAGATACAATATTGCAGTCTGTAATTAAGGATGTGATTACAGGATGCTTTAAAAATCCCAAAGAGATTACACAAAGTTAACGTGGATTTTTGACAAAGAAATGGTGATTAAGGAACTGACTGGAGTTCTTTGACGACTTAACTTGTGAAATAAATGAGGGAGCACCAATGGATGTGGTGTACTTGAATTTCAGAAAGCTTTTCACAAAGTCCGACAAATAGATGTTATTGTGCAAAGTGAAAGCAACTACTTTTGTACAAAGGGACTTGGGCGTCCTTGTAAACTGATCAGTGAGTATAGGAAGAAGCAAGTCTTGTTGCAGCTATCCAGGGCCTTGGTGAGACCACGCCCGGTGCATTGTGTGCAGTTTTAGTCTCCTTTCCCAAAAAAAGGCATACATGCCACAGAGAGAACGCCGTGAGACTTCACCAGACTGATCCCTGGGCTGGCAGGTTTGTCACATGAGGAGAGATTGGATCAGTTAGGCCTGTACGAACCTGGGTTCAGAAGATTGAAGGGAATCTCACTGGACAGACAGGATGCAGGGATAATGTTTTTTCTGGCTGTAGGAGGGAGAGTCTAGAAGATGGAGTCATAGTTTCAGGATACCTGGTAGACCATTTCAGACTGAGATGAGGAGAAATTGTGTCACTCAGAGTGCAGTAAACCATTGAGATTGTCTATCAACAGAAAGTGGTGGAAACCAACGTGCTGATTCTATATAAGAAGGAAAGAGATTTCCAGAGGCTAAAAGTGGAATGAAGTATGGGGTGAGAGTGGGAGCATGGCACTGTAATAAAGGATTAACTCTGACCATGTTAAGTAATGGAGTAGGCTCAATGGGCTGAATGGCCTACGGCTGCTCCTATATTCTGTGTTTGCCACAGTGAAGAGCCAGATCATATATGGACCAAAAAATGCTGGAAATCACAGCAGGTCAGGCAGCACTCATGGAAAAAGAGCAAGCTAATGTTTTGAATCTAGATGACTCTTCACCATTGGTTCTGATGAAGAGTCATCTAGACTGAAAACATTAGCTTGCTCTCTCTCTCTCCATGGATGCTGCCTGATCTGCTGTAATCTCCAGCATGTTTTTGTTCAGTACAGATTCCAGAATCTGCAGTAATTTGCTCCTACTGTGTGAGTTTTGAGTTTTTTGATGACATCTAACCCCACACACACACACACACACACACACACACATTTACTCTCACTCAGACACACGCGAAAATACACTGAGACTCTCAATCACATGCACACACACACTAATTCAGATACACACGTACTCCCAAATGCACACATGCAACAACATTTTCCCTCAGGTGGTAAAACCAATGATTCGCCCCAACATGTCATATGTCATGCTTGCCTTTGTCGATGGAGTATTTGGTGAGTCATGATGCAGCTGAATAAAACTTTAAGTTACGCCACATTTGGTGCAGTTCTGGTCGCCACACTATAGGAAGGATGTGGGGGCTTTAGACAGAGTGTTACCTGGATTGGAGTATATTACCTAGAATGTATAAGGAGAGGGTGGACAAACTTAGATTGTTTTTGCTAGAGCATCAGAGGCTGAGGGGCGACCTGACAGAAGTATATAAAATTATGAGAGGCACAGATAGTGTAGATAGTCAGAGTCTTTTTTCCCAGAGTGGAAATGTCAAATAATAGGGTGCTTAGATTTGGGGTGAGAGGGAGGAAGTAGATGTGTGAGGCAAGTTTTTTTTTACACAGATGGTGGTACATGCCTGGAATGTATTGCCAGGGGAAATGTTCAAAACAGAGATGATAACAATGTTTATGAGGCATTTAGACAGACAAACAAACAGGCGAAGAATAGAGGGATATGAACCATGCGGAGGCAGATGGGATTAGTTTAGAATGGCACCTGATGGTGGAGACAAGGTGGGCTGAAGGGCCTGTTCCTGTGCTGTCCTGTTCTATGTTCTAACCCCAACAGCTGCCCTTCACAAAAGGAAGTCAACAGCATCCCTATGTATTGCAGTGAAACTGCGTTAAGGAATCAAATGTTTTCTGTGAGATGGCACAGTAAATGTGGGAGTGGCTGGGAGTTAGAACGGGACATTGATGGATGAAGTGAATGGCTAAAGCTAGGTCTAGTGTGCTTGCTAGCTTTATACTCGAGTTAATTTATTGAATTTAAATCCTATGAGTTATCAGGATGGATTACTTGTCCAGTAACAATTCCCACTGCACTCCCATCACCCCTTAACCATGGAAACGATGCTCAGATTACCAGCACCGTCTGGAAATGAGGTGGAATCCAGAAGTTTTAATTAACATAAAAGCAGCTTGGAAATCTGAAACGCTTCCCCCCACCTTCCCCACCCACCACCAAGAAAGGGATGGGCCTGGGACTGGGGGGAGGAATCTGAATCCTATCCATTGGAAGGAAGAGGGAATAGCAGAACTCTGTGGGGCACATGGTCATTTGGGGTAAATCGGGGCTTTAAAGACTGAGACAGAGAGAGTTTGTTGTGGAGAAAGTTCCAATCTCAATGGGACAGCCAGGATCCCGTGGATTGTGGAGCAACTGTACCATTGATTCAATGCATTTGATTCTCAGGCAGTGAGCTCCTGCATTCTCTCAGGCAACCTGCTCAGCCCACTCAGTGTGTGCCTGTCGATCTGCTTCAGCAGTCCC